AGCAGCAGGCAGTGAGTTTGCAGAGCCCCCCCCCCCCCGGCCCCCAGGGCCAAAACAGTCCAGTGGCACCTTTAAGACCAGGTTTTATTCAGGTACAAGCTCTCCCTCCTCTGCACGACAGATCTGCACGTTCCCCCCCCCCCAAATAGCTAGCAATCCAAAACAGTCCAGTGGAGCCTGAGCAGTGAGTGTTGCCTTCTGACACACTTCCGGTGATGTCAGGGGGTGTGGCATAGGCAAAATAAGTTATGCTAATGAATTATGCTAGTGAGTTGTGCTAATGAGCTCCTGCACCTCTTTTTCTACGAAATGACCCCTGGTTAGGAGTGATATTTCTACTTAGGTAAGGCTGGATCTAGCCAGCTTTTTCACTTGTCTTTACTACAGCCTCTGTCCCTCGTGGCTTTTGTCCATGCCAGTCCCATGATCCCCAGCAAAGCCTTCAGGGGGATCCCCCTCCACACTTTTCACCAGTGGAAAACCTGGTTGGAGCCAGTTCTTGGCGCTTTCTCCAATTGCTGAAGCATCTTGTGGACAGTTAAGCCTCGATAAGCTAGGTTGATCTTACTAATGCTCTCCTATGGAGGTCCTGCCTAAGACTACCTCATTACTTCCTGATTGACCCATCAACTCCCAGCTCTCCACTACTGCACAATAGGGGGCTACAGAAGCTCTCTATGTCCTTGCATTTTGAGAACTACAGCTACACAGTAGAGATTTGTGTTTTTAACAGCCCTCCAGCAGACAACCTGGAACTAAAACATGAAGAACCCCAATGTCACAGCTTTCTTTCCAAAAAACATGCGTTTTTGACTGCGGCTCTTGATGGATTCTTTTGCACTTACTGCAAACCCCATCAGGCCTGCGGTTCCCAAGCTAAAAAGGGCTGACCTGCTCCTCAAATTAATATGAATGCTGTTCAACTGGGCTTCCCCTTTGTAGGGGACTGTTTTACAAGGGCTCTGAAAATTGTAATAGCAACACGCAGTGGAGAATAGGTCTATCAATGGCTATTAGCCTTTGGGGGGGGGTGCAGTTTTTTTTCTTGGTATTTTTCGGTTCGAGTCCATTGAACCCGGAAATTTTTTCGGATTCCTGGAAAAAAACAGATCTCAATACCAGTAAAGTATTCAAATCTGGGTGTTTTTTTGGAAATCCCATCCTCCCCCCCCCCCAGGTCCAATAGACCCAAACTGAAAAACATGGGGGGGGGGGGGAGAGAGAGAGAACAGTGGCAAAGCCACTAAAAACAGATGCGAGGTGGCTCAGCTGGGGCTCTGCTGGGCAGCCCGGGTTTGCCAGTAATTCCCAAACATATCTGGGATTTTTGGGGGGATTCCCCCCCCCCAGTTCTCCCAAAAAATCCCAGATACATTTGGGAAGCAATGTACACCAAAACTATGATGAGGTGCTTTTTGGGTATATTTTTGGTTCGGGTAAACCTGAATACACCCCCCTACTGTCCATGGTGCTTAAAAGGAACCTCGCCATTCAGAGGCAGTAAACCGCTGCATACCAGAGCCAGAGGCAGCCCCAAGGGAAGGCCTTGCTTTCTATGCCCTGTTGTTGGCCCTCCAGAGGAACTGGTTGACCACTGTGTGAAACAGGACACTGGACAGGATGCTGGACCAGACGGATCGCTGATCTGATCCAGCAGGGCTCTTTGCATGTTCTTACATTTGCATAACTACGGTTCTCAGGAGAGTGAAAGTTAAAACTATTTATAGCAATTAAGTGGTTTTTTTTGGGAGGGAGGTTGTTTGACATACAGCCCCAGAAAGAAGTCTTTGGTGATTAAGTTTTAGTACAAACTAAGCTGGGAGCTCAGATTCTGAGGAAGTGGGAGAGAAATGAAAACTTCCGGATTGGAGAGGAGGCCGCAGATCAGAGCAACAGGGGGAGGGATCGAGATTTTTGGAGCTTTCTGAGGGAAAGATACACACCCTTTGCTCTAGCAGTGCCCGGCGGATGGATACACGCTGCTCAAGCTCCTTGATTTCTCGTTCGTGCTGTGCCTCGGTATGGATCTTGATCTTGCTCTGATAGGCGTTCAGCAGCTCCAGTTCCTGTTGCAGCTGCATCCTCAGGACCTGGTACTCTGCCTCCTGCGTCTCATCCAACCGCAGCTAGGAGTGGAGAAACGAGAGAGGGTAAGAGCCGAGGGCAGAGCCACAGAGCCGATTCCAGAGGTTCAGCTAATACTGGGAGAGCTCTTCTTTGCAAGGTTTCCTGTTGTTCTGCTGTTGCATCGGAACAGGGCGCTTCTACTCTGGGCTTTGCCCCTGAGCTGTAAAATACATCATACTTGGCATGCTAACACTAGGATGATACTACGTTTTTAAACTATAATAATAAAAAAAGGAACATAGCTTCTGTCTGCTAGGGCTCCCTGGCATTTTAACAGCAGCATGACTGAACAAGAGCAGCTTCCTCCCATCCCGAGGCTGGGGAAGATGCACCTCTTGCATTTCTGGCTGCCATATAAGTTCGAAACCCACTAGGGAAGCAAAACAGGGCCCTTTTTAAGTAGAAAAAACACCAAAGCTTGGATCCTGCAGAGGATTTCCAGAAACAGAAGGGGAGGTTATTGATTCTCCCATCTAGCTTCAAACCTCTAGCCCCCTCCCCACCGATGTTCCCAAAGGACCCATGGCCTACCGAAGCAGCATTCTGTTGTATGTGGGGGGCATTTTTGGCTCTAGTGGCGTGAGGGAGGTGGAGAAGTTACCAATGAATCCAATCCCAAATATTTTTATCCTTCCTTCCTTGGAGTTCATGTCAGCATATACCCCTCCTTCTCCACACCCCCACCATGCTCAGGTCACCCACTGAACTTCTTGACTGAGTGGGGGGGGGGGTTTGAAACTGGGTTTCCCCCAATCCTAGTCCAACACTAGCTGCTATACCGCCTTAAAATATAGAGCAGATGGAGTGTTCGGAAGCGGCCCGCGGGGGGCCAGAGATCGAACCCCATCTCAGCCAGGAACACTACTCTACTCCTACATAAACGGATCTCCACCAGCTTCAGCAAACTGAGAACAACAGGGATCAATCTCATGGGGATGCCGAGAGAGTAAAAAGGAGATGCGAGATAGCAAACACACTGTTAGACGAATTTTAATAGCCGAGGGCACATCAACAATCAAGCTCTCTTGGAAGCGCTGAGAACTGTAGCTGAGGGAGCAGGGCTAAGGGATCGCTAAGAGACTATTCTCAAACCCCATATAGCAAACTAAAGCCCACAGGATTCGTTGGGAGGAAAGAGAAGAAGGAGAAGAGATTGGATTTATACCCCGCCCTTCACTACCCAAAGGTGTCTCAGAGCGGCTTACAAACTCCTTTTCCCTTCCCCTCCCCACAACAGACACCCTGGGAGGTAGGTGGGGCTGAGAGAGCTCTTGACAGAAACTGCTCTTTTTCAAGAACAGCTGTGCCAGAGTTATGGCTTGCCCAAGGTCATCCAGCCAGGTGCAAGTGGAGGAGTGGGGAATCAAACCCGGTTCTCCCAGATGAGAGTCCGCGCACTTCACCACGACACCAAACTGGCTCTCAGCACCATGGAACTGGTCTAACACGACGACCGAACAGAGCGATGTACCAAGGACACCCAGATCCTCTGCCGCGCCCCCTTTGTCAATTAGAAAAAGTTCACCAGGCGCTGCCCATTTGGCCTAAATAATCCTTCTGGGTAGCAACGCACCACTTCTCCCCGGCGGCCCACCCCGTCCACAAGTGGGGTACCTACGGCCTGCGTGGAGAGCATCTCGTTGATGCTGTGGTCATACTGCTCAGCGAGGATGGCCAGCTTGCGGGTCTGCTCGTCCTTCAGGCGCTTCAGGATACCCTTGTGCTCGCTCTTCGGAGTGGTCTCCAAGAGGTGGTTGCGGAGGGCCTTGTACTGCCGCGTCTGGATCTTGCAGGTGTCCTGGAACTGCTTTTTAATTTGCAGTTCCTTGGACTGGAGGGGGACGAGGAAAGACGAGAGGGAGACAAAACACAGGACGAGCCCAAGAGACCAGAGAAGGCGGAGGAGGAGGAGAACGGTGAAGGTAGGAGAGAGCAAGGAAAGGAAGAGGGGGTAGCCAGGAGGAAGAGGGGGGGAGAGGAAGAGAGAGAGAGAGAGAAAAAAGAGAGACAGGAGCACGTGTTAGACAAACGACTCCCACCAGGAAGGGGCTTTGGTGGGGGCCCACTAATGGATGTAACTATTTCCGCTGTACCCGCTTACACCACGGCCGCTTCCCCAACAAGAAGGTTTCTACACGGACTACGAAAACTGCGGTAACTGGAGCTCTGATCAGCAACCAGTTTAGTAGGGGCCCTGTTTTGAAACTGGGAAAGGTCTGAAGGGCGAGCGACATTAACCTTCCCCCACTGACTCACTCCAACACAAATTGGAACGCAGGAGAAGGGCCAACTGAACCCCCATCTCTGCCCCCCAACAGCATGAGCAGCAGTGGTTCTTTAGCACCGCAGCTACATGCTCCCAGTGACCTGGAAGCCAAAGACCAGCAGAGAAGAATGTTTACGGGGAGAACTTGTTTTCTCCTCCTGTTCACACAGGATGGAAAGGGGGGAACAGAAAGGTCTTGGTGATGCGTAATGGAAGGAGTTGCCCTCCCAGGGTGGTTTATGCGAGGGACATGAGAGAACCCCGGATGGCCAGTGCCTCATTACTACACTGAGCCAAAGTGAATTTCATGTCAGACTACAACCGTGCGTTGGTGACATGCCCGTCATCTATTTCCACTGCCCCCTTCCCAATTTGTTTCACTAACATTCCACCGTCCACCCTAATGTACCTCTTTCCCACCAGTTGTCCTTTATGAGAAACCTGATCACGAGGATGTCTTTCCAACCTGCATTTTCATAACCAGCTCATTCTGAGAGATCCATCATTTAAGGGACTTTTCACTGGCCCCCTCCTGATCAAAAAAGAATCCTGGTTTTCCCAAGAAACACACTGGGGATATGAGGTAAGGGAGATATACATGGATGTGCCAAACATGCTTTAAGTATCTGTCATGGGTTCAAAGACAGCCCACCAAAGCAAGTTTCACTTTCTGCTATCGCCTTGTTAGGCTGCGGTTTGCTCTAAAAGGTTTTATCAAGCACAGAGAATTACTCCTGAAGACCTTTCTGTTAGGAAAGGGACAAATAAAGGTAAACGATTAATATATGCACTAGAGGATGGGTGGACAGTTTTCTCTATCACTATTTTTTTTTAGCTTGCCCTCCCTGTATGGAACTCAAGGCAGGAAACTTCGTTCTCTCCTCTTCCATTTAAACAAGGCCCCTGCAAGGTAAGTCAGGCTGAGCGCATGAGTTTTTCTTGCTTGCACGAGCATTTGAACCCAGGCTTCCCTCAGTTCTAGTGTAGCGCTAACCACTACACCACACTAACTCTTGGTTTAGTGCAGAATAGACGGTGATATCTGTCCTCTGACTGAAACCTCAGCTCCGTAGCTGGGCTGTCAGAAGGTCTAAAATTCTGAAGAGCAGGAAGCAAAAAAAATTGTGCCAGATGTCTTTACAAAACAAGGAGAAGGCATCTGAGTTGAGACCACTGCATACAGCAGTCAGGCTTAAAACCATGTTAAGGTGAACCCTTGCAACCTCAGATTCCCTTGCCCTGCCCCAGCAAAGCCTCAAAGTTTTAGGGAGGAGACCTCCCCCCCCCCCCCCCCGAACTACCACAAAACTACCACAAAGCAGCGTATGCAATTTTTCTGTAATTCCAGGAGATGAATGGCTGTTCCTAGGAAATTTGGTGCCAGTGGCAGAAAAACCCAAATCCAAATCCTGTTCCCCCATTAACAGAGGGGAAGAAAAAGGACTCTGGGGAAAAACCTCACAGAAATGAGGAAGATGCTCCATTTCACTTCAGTGTGTCGCCCATGACACCCGGGGTATGTTTAATGCCACCCCAAATCCTACTCCCAGTGGCGGACCTCTTAACCAAGCTGAGCTACTACTCAGAACGTTCTTGTAAAAAAATTACTGCTTGTTCAACACTCTTTGGAATAGGCCTTAACCAATACGAGGCCAGTGCCACCTGCATCCCAAGCTGATTAGTCTCTCACTGGATTTAGGAGTCAGGCTCTGTTAGGGTTGCCAAGTCTGGGTTGGAAAATACCTGGAGACTTTGGGGGTGGAGCCAGGAGAGGGCGTGGTTTGGGGAGGGGAGGGGCCTCAGCATGCTACAATGCCATAGAGTCCACCCTTCAAAGCTGCCATTTTCTCCAGGGGAGCTGATCTCTGTCGGCTGGGGATCAGTGGTAAAAGCAGGAGATCCCCAGGCCCCACCTGGAGGCTGGCAACCCTAGGCTCTGTGTGTGTGGAGTAGGCCCTCAGTGTTGAAAAAAATAAAAGGAAAGGAGGGGGGGGGACACAAGTAAAACTATGCACAGGTTTCCCTAACTCCTGCTTGTATACTCAAAGTGCTCCTATGAGCATTATAGCCTCTGTGAGTGCAGGGAGTTGCCGTGGAGGACTTCTTCAGAAAAGCTCTTTAGAAAGTGAAGTGAGGCTCAAAGCAGGTAGCTAGATCTAAATCCAGCAGCACCTTAGACCAACTAGATTTTCGGGGTAGAAGCTTTCGAGGGTTAAAGTTCCCTCTGTCAGAGACCAAAGGGAGCTTCGACTCTCAAAAGCTGATAAATCCCCAAAATCTTGTTGGTCTCAGGTTCTGCTGGACTTGAATCGAGCTGTTCGACCGCAGAACAACACGACCACCCTCTGAAACTACCTTCACTGAAGGCAGGTGGAGAAGCAAATACATAAAACCTCCCATTTAAGTGCTGACAGGCAGAATCTGAATAGTTTAATCCTGTGAGGTGGGAGGATGAACATGTGGGGGAGTAGTTTTGGGGTCGGGGTGTGAAAACAGACTCATCGCCCAGCTCCTGAAGCTTACAGTGCCCCCCCCCTTAAATTCAAAATGTCAGAAAAGAACCAAATCAAACTCAAAACTCAGAATACAGCAGTGGTGAATTGTGGTGCACAATTTTTTTCCTTTTATTAATTTTTTTTTCCTCTTCAAAATTTCACATGCATCCACAAACACGGAAGGGAGAAATAAATAAACCACAGATAAAACACCTGCCCCCTCAAAATGGGAGAAATAAATTAAAAATATTTAATAGAATTTTTTAAAAAATGCAAGGAGGGTAGGCAAAACCACAACTAAAAAGGGGGAGAGAGGCGAGAAATACAAGTACACTGTTAAATGGACAAAACAGAATCAGTACTGAGAACAAATTTGGCCAAAAAGTCAGAGGAATGCTAAAAAAGTCCATGGATAAACAAAACTGGAAGAAATAAAAGAACACAGGTGAACCAAAAAAGGGAGAAATACAATGATGTGCTAAATGCACAAATGGGTCTAAAATCCAGGAACATAGTAAACATAATGGATGAATAAAGTGGAATTAAAACTAAAGGGATAACCTCAGAAAGGTTAAAAAAATGTGAGAACACTGTTGGACTAATAAAAGCTGTGAAAATGAACAGAAATACAAATGGAAAAGAAAGAAAAAAATCAGCAACCAGATATGTAGAAAATAGTTTCCTTGTGATTTGACTATACAGATCAGAGTCTTCTAAGGTATTTAACAGACAAAGAATTAATAAGAAGGGATGTAACCCACCCCCCCAAACCCCTAGCTATGCCTGTCAATCTCAGAGCACTTAACTGAAATAAGCAGGATTTTATTATCCCAGTTAAGTGTGTTGAGAAATGTTCTTCAAGACTGATCCTCCCAATTTGGGTAAAAAAAAGTAAATTAGCAATTTATTTTTTTTGCCAATTTGTTAGTGCATTAGATATAAATAAGATAGGAAATAAAAGTGAATATTCTAAAAGAAAAACCGTCCAGCCACAAAAAATAGTTATGCAGTCTGTTCTCTTAGTGTTTTGATGCATGCCTGATTGGAAAGAAAATTTGTTTGGTAATACTTTTACTGGCAGGACTGCAATCAGCATAGGAATTGAGGAGTCCTTGGGATTACACAGAATTCTTCAACACGGCTGCTGCTTGCATGAAAAGAGAACGCATCTTAAATCGTGGGCTGCTAAGAAGTAAGCTGTTGCAGCTGCCGTCAGGCTAAGGGGCTCCAGGCCTCAGGCTCAGCTAAAGCAATTCAGTGCCTTCATGCACTTTTTCAAGCTGTAGAAAATGGAGGGAATCTAAAATTTCACTTGTCTAAACACTTCACTTACTTGCAATTCCAATACTTTCCAAGTCTGGCAGATGAAACGTTTCCAGACATGCAGACTATTGGAATTCCAGGCAGAGAGGCAGCATATGGTTTAGGGTTTTTTTAAAAGATAGCTGAACAAATTTATTTTTAATTTTAACTAAAGAGTTTGAATGTGACCATGCTTGCATAGACATTAATCCAATGTAAGGTATCTTATATTTTCTGACACGAACTTTCCTAAAACAGGGGGCGACTGCCTCAAAGGGAAGGAAAATGCCCCAGTTCGCAGCACGTGGTCTTTGAATGTTTCTCATTTTCAACCACATAAAAGAAAATACTGGTTTGCCCACCATGCTTTAAAGCAAGCAACTGCATAGTTAGTGGATTTCTCCCATTTTCAGTCAAATTATAAAAAAAAATATACATCTCAACATTAGCTTCCCTTCCTCCTCCCCACAAAAATGATTTTATATAAAATTTTCAAAAAAAAAGGTCACAAACATACACAAACAGGAAGTAAGCTTGAAATATATACATTCAAGGCAAAACAAAAAAGAAATGAAGTGAAAGGGATATTACAAATAGGGTGGAAAATGATAAATATATATATTTATAAAATGGTGAAATATATATATATATATGTGTATATGGGAACGGCGAAAGAATCACCAAGAACTGATTAACCCCTCAGGAACTGGGAAAAGTCTGAGTTCTTAAAAAACAGGCACCCCTGAGTCTTATAAATTTCTAGGCCGACTGAAACAAGGGGCAGAATTATGTGGAATGGGGTGGTGGTGGAGTAGATTTAAGTGGGATTCAGATGCTGAGCCTTTAAAGACAGATGGCAACGAATGGGCACCCTGATAAAAGTTAATGATTGCGCACTAAGCCCTAACAGCCTCTTCACGTTTGGGGAGGTTTGCTACGTTGGCTGGAACCTAAGATGGACCCCTCCCCCATTCAGTGTAAGGTTATGGTGGAACAGGCAGCCCCTGAAGTTTTCAAAGGGGATTCTGTGCAAACCTGTGGCCTCTCCCCGCTCCCCACATCCAACAACTTGGGGGGTGGGGGTGGCCTCAGGCTTTATAGATAATGGTAGAGTACGTGCATCTTCTCGTGCCCTAGTTTCACCTACATCTCCCAATCTCCTCCCCCCATCAGAACTAGTCATTTAAGTGGGCGGAGACACAGCCAACCCACCCACACCAGCAACTCTGGAGCGCGTCAGGTGATTCTTTCCTCGTTAGGATGATGAACACACAACAACGCCTCACCCTGCCCCCAATCTGTTAAAAAAACAAACCATGGAGCCGGAACGTTCCCTTCCACCCCCCAACAAAAAAAAAAAGCCTCCCCCCACCCAAAGTATTCTCCTGCCCCAGGTGGAGGCCTTGGCATTAAGACATCCATTCACCTTCCCTCCGCGGCTCGTCTCATCTCCCCCTGACACCGCATCTTGCAGGGAAAGTGGCGACTTTGGGAGTAAACACCGATTGGTTCTGCCCAAATTGTGCTTGTGTCACACACACAAAGGGCCAGGGGTTCACCGGAACTGGCCAAGGAGTATTTTCACAGTTTCAGAACAGGGCTTGGCAAGTCGCAGCATGGCTGCCCCTTCTGAGGACATAATGGGGGGGGGGGAGGCTCATCTCCAGGGCTTCCGGGCACGCGGTGCTGCCTGCCCACTCCTCCTCCGACTGATCTGCCTGGCTGACCCCACGGAACGCCCCCTCAGCCTGGCCGCTGGCGCCACCAGGCGGGGGATCCGGCTGGGCCTCTCCTCACGCAGGACGCGCAGTCCCTTGAGGCAGTGGAGGGCAGCGGGTGGCAACTGAGCACAGATCACCTCAGCCAGGAGCCTGTTGAGGCTACAGACGGGCTTGGCCAAGAGGGCGATGGCCTTGCGGTGCCAAGGAAGCGGAGGCAGGCGCTGGCAGGACAGCACGGGGATGCGGCTGCGGAAGCCGCCTTTGTTGGTCTTGGGGAAGAGGCGGAACAGGCCCCGCTCGCTGACCAGCCCCAAGTGCTGAAGGATGCGGAAAGCAGGACGCGGGAGACGCAGGAGGATTAGAAGCCAAAGGCGCCGGGCGCGGCGGGGGAATCCTCTCAGGCTGCGCCTTGCTATTGCCCCCAACAGGTAGAGGGGCAGGAAAAGCCAGGGAGAGGCTAAAAGATAGGAAGCCAGGAGGATGACAGGGACATAGAGACGCCCCCTGCTGGCACTCAGCCCCACCACGCCCACCGCCCCAGCCATCTTGGCCAGAAGTAGGAAGGAGGCTCCGGAGAGGAGGAAGACAGAGTGCAGCAGCGTGTAGGTGACCCCCAGGCCCACCAGTGCTCCTTCGAGGGCCAGAAGAATGTCCTGAAACCCGCCACCCTGGGCCCACAGAGCCGCTAGAAGCAGGAGGAGAGTCGGGGCACAGGGACAGGCAGAGACCAGCAGCGCCAAGGCCACACAGAGGGCGTGAGGCAAAACAGCCGCCACTGGAGGGGGGATGGGGTGGGCTTTGGCGGTGCACAGCTGGCTGTAGGAGTCTTCAGGGGCTGGGCAGCCATCACCAGGGCCTCGCAGGGCACCCTCCTCCAAGACAGGAGACACGGAACTAGGGCGTAAGAGACCTTCGCACCTGAGTGGCTCTAGCGGATCAGCCTCTTGCCCGTCGGGCTCTGGAACACCGAGGCGTCCCCGGGCTGTGGACAGAAACTCAGAACTTCCTCCATACTGGTCCAGCACCCCAAGAAACTTCGGCTTCACTTCTAGATCCACAGCTCCCTCTTCGTAGAGCTCTAGCTGCTTCAGACTTGCTCCAGTGAAACCCAGCACCTGGCCTTCTTGACTACCGAGACCCAGAACTTCACGGTCGCCCCCATCAAGCCCGAGGCACCTTTGCCTCAGCTCCACAACGGCAGCCTCCTGACTATCTGGAAGGACACCTGCCAGGCACTGCCAATCTTGCTCTACATCCCCAGAATGCCTCGATCCCGACACCAAAACCGCCCTGCTCTGCTCATCCAGATCTAGACCCCTCTTCTGCAACCAGTCGGATTCCAGACACTCCGCTTCCAGCTCCAAGTCATCCTCATCAAGTCCGTACTCTGGAGCCTCATGCCTGGGAGGCTCTTCCTTTGGCTCCGGCACCCCAGTTTCAAAGGTACTCTTAAGGAAGAGACCTGGACGTGTAATCCTGGAGCCTACATCATCATCATCACCACCACCCTGGGTGGGCTCCAGAACTTCTCTAGCATGGGTGCATTGACCCAGAGCATCGTGAAATGGGCTGCCTGTCTCCAGAACAGCGGCTTCGGGTCCTCTTGGGTCTAGGTGCCCAGTGTGCAAACATTCAGATTCTGCATCCACCCGGAGTTTTTGATCCCCAGTCTCATAACCGTTTGGAGGTGGCCCACCCAGTTGCTCCTGTACAGGCGCTACACCTCCAGCCTCACATCTGTCCATTTCTATGACCCCCGGGTGCCCCTGTTCTGGCTCCAGAACCCCCACATCCTGCCCTTCAGGGCACCACTGGCAGCAAGGTGGTGTGTAGGTAGCACCTACTTTGAGGCTCTTGGGCTGCTGCCGGACCTCCATGGCATGTTTCTGGCGCAGCTCCTGCTCGCGGCGCTTGTTGTACTCCAGCTGATTGGAGAGCTCCGTTTGGTGCTGCAGGCGGGTGAGCTCAGTGCGGGTGCGCTGGACGGTGTGCAGGTGACGGAATTCCAGCTCTTGGGTGGACTCGTGCTGGCGCAGCAGCATGGCGCATTCCAGATCCTTCTGCGTCTGCTTTTTGTTCAGCTCCTGGAGAAGCAAAGCAGAGAAGCGTCAGAGTGAAGCCATGAAGGTTTCCCTCTCTAGCTTCAAGGAACTAGTTATCCTCTTGGCTTAGCCTACATGCTTCCAATAGATACATTTTTCTTACTGGTCTGAGAACAGCTGTGCTTACTGCAACACTCCTTGTTGTCCCAGTGTCAGGGGCTGCCAGCTCTGCAATTCTGTGCACAAAAATTCCGTGCAAATTGAGAATTCAGCACAGGGTGCAAGATTTGGTATACTGAGAAACCGCTTCCTCCAGAGCAGGCCTCCGTGGGGAGAGTCTGTATACACATTTTCTAAATCCACTAATTTTTTTATTTTTAAATACACAGAGCAAGCTAATTTCAACTACTAAAAAAATGTGAAGCAGTGTTGGAAGCATCTGGACCATGCCCTTCAGTACAGATGACCCTGTGTCACCCCAGGTCGAGGGCCCATCCTCCTCTGAACGCCCTCCTTTCCCCACTCCACAACGGTCATCCAAATGGCGGCTGCCGGTTCCAATTCTTCTAAGGCTATTGAGCCCCCAACACAGAACGACCAAAAAAGGAAGAAGGTGGAATACAATCCTAGCCTGGTCAGTCCCGCCAACCCCCCCCAACCCCCGGGGTGGGTTCTGGCCTTCCAGTCACGTCCTGCCCTCCCTTTGCGCTGCTCTCGGGGTCCCTTTCCCCGCCCCACGCCGCGCTCCGGCCATCAGCGCCCACCTCTCGCAGCAGGTCTTGGTCCAGGTTGTGGCGGGCGAGCAGCATCTTGCGCTTGTACTGGCGGCACTGCAGCTCAAAGTACTGCCGCTGGCGGCGCAGCAGGTTGGCTTCCTCCTCCGCCTGGTAGTGCTGCATGTTCTCCTTCTGCCGCAGCAGCCACTCCTGCTTCTCCCGCTTGGGCGTGCTCTGGTTCTCCTGCAGCTCCTGGGAGAGAGGCGAGAGCGGGAGGTCAGGGGTGCGAGGCCGGCGATCGTGAGGTACGGAGGCGGATCTCCCCGTGCGCATGTGCCTGGGGACTGAGAGCACTCCTACCACGGCTGGAGGAAGGGAGCCACGCAGACGAAGAGTCCTGCTGTGCTTATGCGGTGTTTGCAGCCTTCCTGCCAAGCATGCCCATGCCCCCATTTTGCACTAACAGTTACCTCATTTTAACACATCCTGGCTGCTATTCTGTCCGCATGGAATAAGGAGTTAGCAAGTCACGCAGACCCTCCTTGAAGCCCTTTCCCAAAAAACCTAACTCAGAGAACACGACCGCTTCCTCCCTGGGATATGGCTCTACAGCAGATTTCTGAAGAGGGGGGGGGAATTATAACTTGAAGGGGATTATGGGAACGTTCAGCAGAAGACATTTTTTCGCGGGAGGTTTTCAAGGGGGGGGGGGGGGGGGGGGGAGATGCTGAATATTCTACACTTTGAAGACCGGATGAGTGCTACACTTGCTCCAGAGTGAATCCCTCAAGGCCCCTTTTCACATCACAGCGGCAGTATCGACTGAAAGCAAAGAAGACCAGTGTTACAGACGACCACCCCACTGGAAAAAATATAAGGGCAGGATGCAGGCATGGGGAAAAAGGAAGCCTTTGGTAACGTTCTGTTTCAGTCTTCCCCTGCTCCTCCATGCCCCCCCCCCCGCCCAATCCCTTACATTTGGTCCCAGTTCTGTTCCAAGGAACTCAAGCAGGGTGTTCCTGCCACTCCCTCTCCCCACAACGAGTCAGGCAGAGAGCCCTGAACTGCACAGCCCAGGCTAGCCTGATCTCCTCGAATCTCGGTAGCTAAGCATGGTTCTCCCTGGTTAGTATTTGGATGAGAGACCTCCAGGGAATACCAGGCTTGTGACGCAGCGGCAGGCAACGGCAAACCACCTCTGAATGTCTCTTGCCTTGGAAACCCGACAATGGGTCGCCATGAGTCAGCTGTGTGACTTGATGGGACTTTCCACCACCCTGGCAGAGACAGTGACTGATCCAAGGACACCCAGCAAGCTCCATGGTTCAAGCAAGCCTTCCAAGCCAGGTTTCCCCCACTCCAAACCCAACATGCTAACCATGAACACCACACAGGCTGTACCTCTTTGAGCTGCTCCTTGCGCAGCTTATACTGGCGCTTCTGCGATTCCAGCAAGTTGCCCAGTTCCTTCTTCTGCTGGCCCAAGATGTGCTGCTGGAATTTCTTCTCCTCGGCCAGGGCTGCCTTAGCCTGGAGGAAGAAACGTGGTTCACAAAGGAACAAAAGACGAGATGGAGATTGCCCAGGGCTGCGCATATTCTGCAGCTCCAAACAAGTATAGAAAGTTCCGCATCCAGCAAATAATTTGACAGTGTCAGTGTTAATTTAGCCCAAAAAAGTTTCTAGCCTTATGCGGGTAAAAATAGGCTCACAAGGGCAGTAACTTGGACACAGGAATGAAGGGGGTTGGGTGAATTTCCCAGTGGGGAGGAGTTTCAGTGCCTGGCACCAATCCTTTACTGGGGCCTCCTTTACTGGCACAAATATTTAAAAATATACAAAAATGTCAATTTGCATAGTATTGCAAGTCACAATTGAGTATTTTCCTGGTGCATAGCCTTAAGGAGCATACATAGGTAATTGTCTGCTCTAGAACTGGGGGAGAGGAGGTGGGCAAGGCACGCCCAGAGAATTCCCTTAACCTGGAAGAGATTACTACGGAATCTCTCCCACTCCCTCTGATCGCCTTGGGTGCTCAACGCAACATGAATGCTGGTGGCGTTGGTGGATACTGGGCCATTTGCCCACTTGCTAGGGCCACGGCCAAGCCTGGAAATTCAGGAGGACAACTTGCAGGTCTCTCTGCAGCCACAAACTGTGGTTACATCCAAGCACTGCGGTGCCAGGTCACAGCCGCTCTGCCTAGGCAGAAGGGGGCTTTCAACTGGGGCTTTTAACCTTTTATAGTTGATCACATTATCATTTTATGGACACCACAATCAGTGTTCAGCCTGTTTTGTGCTGGGTTTTGGTAAGCTTTTATGCCAGTTTCTCTGCTGATGTACTGTTTTATGGCTGCAGGATTAGGACTGTTCTATCAATGGCTGGGTTAGCGTTACTTAGGATGAGGGGGTTAAATTTTACTTATTTTATTTGTTATGCTGCACACTACATTCAGCAGCTTCTAGAGAGAGACAACATATAAAATTTCTAAAAACAGCCAGTTGTAGCAGGAGACACAAGAATAATTCAAACCAGAATCAACTTGTAAGAACCAGGGGAGCCAAAGATAAAGACAACAATACTGGGGTGGGTGGGTCAACTTCCTACAATTCTTCACTCCTCTCTCCTGCCAACCAAACATGGGTAAATGCTGCAGATACCTCAACCTGCATGGAGCTCCTCCTCCTCCTCCCTGCCAGAGGCCAGAGGCCAGAGGCTCTCTGTCTCCGGTAGCTCCTCCTTGCAGATCCAACTGATAGACCAGGTAGCAAGGTAATAGGGCCTCAGAAACAGTGCTCATAAGTTTTTAATTAATATTCTCCTTGCCACTGCTAGACTTGCTATTGCTCAGAAATGGAAAGATGAAAACCCCCCTACCTTGATTTCTTGGAAAAACAAGATTTGGGAACATTTTCTATTAGGGAAAGTGGCTTCACAGAATGCTGCACTCACCTCGGGCAGTAGTTTACGTAAATTCCAAGCAATTTGGTTTCCAATGATCGCATACCTATCTGAGGGAGACTTTGTTCCTAATAATTGTCATTACCAGAAACTCTTATTCTTTTGAACGATCTAAAATTGTGTTTGTTTCTCAGTTACTGTATAGATTGTCACTTCTATACTGTTAGACATGAAGTACTATCCACTCATGCAGTTTACAGTTTGTGTTAAATGTTATATTCTCAAAAAATTATAAATAAAGTCTTTAAAAAAAGAAAAGAAACAGTGCTCACGCCAATCTTAGAAGGCTGACATGCTACACATTAGGAATTACAGCTTACACTGACATGGCCCCCTCTACACCCAGGCAAGGCCAGCTCCTCCTGTGCAAACCCCCCTCTTCTCACCTCCTTCTCAAAAATAGCCTGATGCTTCTTGGCCAGTTTCTCAGCCTCGGCAGAGAAGTTGTTGCGGTGGGCCTCCAGCTCCTTGTCGAGGCGCAGCTGGTGCTCATCCAACTCTGCACGCAGCTTGTTCTCCAGCGCCAGCAGCTGCTTTTGGTGCTGACGCCGCATCCGCTTGTAGCCGCTCATCTGATCCCGCAACGCTGAATCCTGCTCGTGCTCCTGGATCTGGCGCGTCACCTGGAAAGGGCCAGGGATTTCCCTACTTTCACTCGTTCTGAGAGACAGCGGGGCTGGACCCAACCAGGTTTTTCAATGAAAAAGGGAGGGAGGGAGGGAGGGGGGTCATGGTTCCATGGCAGAACTTCTGCTTGGCGTGCAGAAGGCTGGTCCCAGGTTCAACCCCCAGCATCTCCAGTAAAACAAGCAAACAAACAAAAAGAGTCATAGGCGATGTCACAGATCTCTGGCTGAGACCCTGGAGAGCCACTGCTGACTCTGATGGACCAATGGGGCTGATTCGGTATAAAGCAGTCCATCTGTGTGTGTTGGGGGGTGTATGTGTTTCCCTTTGAGCATCAAAAATGGCTATGTTGAGGATCATGGGGCCTGCATGGACAAAGGCCATATGGGACAACGGCTGTAATAAGGAGGGGGGACTGGGAGAATGAAAAAGCTGGCAGGATCCAACCCAGTATGTAGATTCCACTGTTCACGTGCCTATCAAGTTTGATGAGTACCCAGTGTGATGAGAGAAATAAACCATAGAAACACACATTTTTATGTTTCATCCTTAATGTTCCGCCCATCAAAATATCAAATCCTGAGACTCAGGGCTACAGACTATTATTCAGAACGCAACAGCTCTCTTTCTAAACCCATTATTATACTGTGGATTCTTATGAAAACTGCAGCAGCAGACACCATCTTAAAAGGCACAGACTTGATACACTTCCCCCTTCAGAACTACTCCTTGCAGATCCAACTGATCTGTGAAACACTTCCTCCTTCAGAACTACTGTTTTATTCAGATGCAAATTTATGTCATCCAGTGAAGAGTAGCAGGGCATGGACTGGGGCAGGCCCTCTAGCCAGAAGGGGAAGGACTGCGAAACTATTTGCATAGCCCTGCCCTGCGGAGTGAGTAGGGGGCACAACCCTTTTCAGGATACCTTCCTCCTCTGATGGAGAAGACAAAGCCTTGGACATCTCTGCCTCACATTCCCCACCTCCACCTCCGGTCTTTGCAACATGAGGGCATCCCTACGAACCATCTTGAAAGATCAGATTCTAAATGACAGAGAACCGTATTAAGTACCTGAGACCAATGTTCCCTCTAAGCTGTAGGGTCTTGTGAGCAAAAATTCTACTTTGTGAGCTACCGGCATTAAAGTTGTGAGCCAGCGATTTGGCTACTGCATCAGTTAGTTTGCTCTGGAGCCCTCCTTCCTGAGCGAAGGCAAAAATGTGTGAGCCGGAGGCTAAAAAACTGTGAGCTAGCTCACATTAACTCACCTTAGAGGGAACACTGCCTAAGACCAATGTTCCCTCTAAGCTGTGGGGTCTTGTGAGCAAAAATTCTACTCTGTGATTAGTTGGCTCTGGAGTCATTCTTCCTGAGCGAAGACAAAAATCTGTTAGCTGGAGGTTGAAAAACTGTGAGCTAGCTCACACTAACTCATCTTAGAGGGAACACTGCCTGAGTCCATGAATATGTCTAACCCTAAATGGGACACTCCAGGCAAACCCCCTCTCCTTCTATGCCTATATCTTTTCCTGCCTTTTCACTCACCCCTGAGTGCTACAGTGCTGCATCCCACTGAATACATATGGTGGACTCTCAGATTCTACCCAGCAAAGAATTTTACTGGCTGCTCTTGAAGAATTGCAGCAATACTCCCTTCATTTAGAAGAGGATTTTGGAGAGAAACCATGAACTACCATGCAGAAGATAGTTCCTCAGCCCTGCACTCCCTGAAGCCTTCAGACCACAGCAAGGCAGGGCTGTGGGCCACAAAGACCGAACCTGGTTCTGTTGAAGCAGGACTCCAACCCCCACTCACCAGGGAAGCTGTACGGATGGTGGCAAAGTGGTCTCTATTGCGGCAGTAGGCACGGCGTCGGGCAGCAGAGGATGAACTCTGCGGCTCCATCTCAGGCTGGTACGGGTCATCATACAGGTTGTCGTGGCCCTGAACGAAACCAGAACAGGAGATAAGCAGCAGCAAACCTTGGTTTCCAGCACCATCTAATGTTAAAACGGGCGAACCAACTAGTTAGCCAAGAGGAATTCCAAGAATGATTTAGGGGTCACACTGAATATCCCAGGCTGAAGATGACTGCAGGACAATGCCACCCAGGCATGTGAGGGACGGGAATGCCGTTAAAGCTCCCTGTGAAATAACTGCGGTCATCTCTAGGCACCACAGCAAGGTGCTGCAGGTGGGCCGGAAAGGACCCAGGGGACAGCAGCAAGGACAATGAAGAGCACAGGTATGTCTGGCCTAGGCAGAGACAAGACTGGGGGGAGACGGAAGAGGGAAAG